CCCCATTTCAACCCCCTTCCCTCTGGGATTCCCTTCCTCTTGTTCCCCTCCTTGACCCCTTTGACCCCCCCCCTTTCAACCCCCTTCCCTCTGGGATTCCCTTCCTAATGCACCCCTCCCTTGCAGCCCCTTCCCCCAAACCCTGGGGAGCAGTACTTTGAGCTGACCTTTCCCAGCAGGTGCCTCCAGATCTGTCCCATAAAAGACCTCGGCTTGGCTGAGTTTGTTTCAGGGGAAGCCCTGGATGGTGGAACCCTCAAAAAGGAAAAGTCTCTTGCCTTGGGCTGAACTCCCCCTCCCCCCCACTTCTCCTGGTCTCTGCCCAGGTGTGGCCTGTTCTGCCGCACCTTACTGCTTCTGGGTGTGGGGATATGTGCCCTGGAGCACAGGGGCAGATGCCTGGCTGGAGGATGGTGACCCCTTTTCAGACAAGTATTTAAGGGGATCATGGACGTTGTCAGTGTGTGTCCTGCTTAGAGTTCAATCCAAACTTTGTTAGGGAATGGGGGGAGGTTGTCTCTCACTTCTGCCTCCTGTGGGGTTTCTTGCTCCTTCCTCTGAAGCAACTAGTCCTGGATCGATGGTCCTTGGGTCTGATCCAGGCCAGCAGCGCTTACAGACCCTGTGTGTGCACCTGGTAACAGCACAACATTGCTAATGTAGCTGTTTGGGCTGAGCTGCCTCGGTGCTTCCACCTACACGTTTTGTGCTTTTCTGTCGGATGCTAGCAACTCGGTAGAAAGTTCAGGATTTGCCCCAGGCCTCTCCGGGATCGACCAGTATCTCTGCCTGGTGGAATGGAAGTGCAGAGCGATCTAGTAGTGAATAATATGCCCACTGGCAGGAAACCTGTGGCAGAACCAGGACCAGAAACTGGCACCCTGACTCCCGTTCCCCTCTTCTGTCAGGCCGTTTTTAAACATTTACTGCAGCTGATCAGGGTGGATTGATTTAAATAGAGGCGATTTAAATAATTTGATTTTAATCACAGTTTAAATCACCCCCCCCCTCCCAAAAAAAAAATAATCGCCAGTTACCGTCAAAGCTAAGCTAGACTGTGCTTAGAGGGCACTTAATTTTGGAAGAGGCCCCACTGAACAAACTTTCATTTCTTGTTTTCTCAAAAAAACAAGAACAATATAGAATGGGGTTCCCTTTAAAAAACGGAGTTATGCTGAAGTAAAATAAAGAATAGATTTATGACATCACCATTATGGACTGTGGCCATGAGGTTGCAAAAGAAGGGATATTATACAGTAGAATACAGTATTATATATACCATACAATAGTATATTATGTAATATAAAACAAAAAATGACACTCCGTGTCTATAGGCAACTCTAAATTTCTCTTACTGCAGCTTTCTGTGCTGTATACTTGGGTGATAGATTCTAAACCTAGTTAACTAATTCAACAAGCCATAAGGATTAGCTAAGCTAAACTTTTTTTTGGAGCTGGTGGTTAGGCTGGACAGGCTAGGTCCATTCATTCATTTTTAAGAGACTTTTTAAGCATCCGGGTAGCATTTCTGTGATGGGATTTAATTGTAACTGTTTTTAAATGGGAAATGGAGTATTTTACTGATCTCTTTTTTTATCTGAATTTTTTTTTTAAATCGTTGATTTTTATCAACCCTGATGCTCATGCTAGGAATCCAAATTCCCAGCTCGCAGGCACTCCAAATGTCAGGTCACAAGAACTAATGTGACATGGCTGGGGGTGCTCTAATCACTAGACAGCACTCTCCTCTCAGTCACAGTCCTTTCTGGCCTAGTCAAATCGCTTTAAAAGGGGGAGAGAGATTCTTGAAGAACAATTGGATTGGTCCTGCTTTGGGCAGGGGGCTGGACTCGACCACCTGAGGTCTCTTCCAGCCCTAGGATTCTATGAACGATGCATTGCAAAGTGAATTATTTAAGTTACTAACCCGTTGATCCACTCAGTCAGATCCACATCGCTTTCTTCCCAGCAAGCAGTTTTCTTTGTTTCATTCTTGCAAGTAGGCCCTGCATTATCATCCTGCATGGACTGCTTATCCGTCACGTTTTCCTTTTTTACCCAGGGAATGAATTTCTTCAAACTATTCCCAGAGAGAATCTCTCTTCTTGAAGAACAATTGGATTGGTCCTGCTTTGGGCAGGGGGCTGATTCCTGAAGAACAATTGGGATTGGTCCTGCTTTGGGCAGGGGGCTGGACTCGACCACCTGAGGTCTCTTCCAGCCCTAGGATTCTATGAACGATGCATTGCAAAGTGAATTATTTAAGTTACTAACCCGTTGATCCACTCAGTCAGATCCACATCGCTTTCTTCCCAGCAAGCAGTTTTCTTTGTTTCATTCTTGCAAGTAGGCCCTGCATTATCATCCTGCATGGACTGCTTATCCGTCACGTTTTCCTTTTTTACCCAGGGAATGAATTTCTTCAAACTATTCCCAGAGAGAATCTCTCTTGTGCCCAGAAACCAGGACGGTTTTTCTGTGGCACCAGTGTGGAGGGTATAGAAAGCTGTGCGTGAGTGTGTGTGTGCTCTGAATAACATCTTCTCTCTTTCTTTTCAGTTCACTGTTCTCTTCTAGGCTGCCTCCGTCCTTTGCTATATATTGCGATTCTGTCTTTATAAGCGACTCTCTTAACTAACTCCTCTGCTGTGCGTGGCCACAAAAAACAAGCCCGTTCAGGATGCGTCTGACTTTGCACATGTCGCTTTGTCGTCTGCTGAGAAACCGAAATGGAAAGCCCAGAACTTTCAAGAAGCAGGAGCTGGTGGTTAGGCTGGACAGGCTAGGTCCATTCATTCATTTTTAAGAGACTTTTTAAGCATCCGGGTAGCATTTCTGTGATGGGATTTAATTGTAACTGTTTTTAAATGGGAAATGGAGTATTTTACTGATCTCTTTTTTTATCTGAATTTTTTTTTTAAATCGTTGATTTTTATCAACCCTGATGCTCATGCTAGGAATCCAAATTCCCAGCTCGCAGGCACTCCAAATGTCAGGTCACAAGAACTAATGTGACATGGCTGGGGGTGATTTTCAGGGATGAGGTGTCCCAGAAGTCAAGCTATCTGGAAGATCAGAATCTTCAAATCCTCTAGACCAGTGTTTCTTAAAGTGTGTTCCACGGCAATTGTCTTAAAAGGGCAATGCTGGGGGTTTTTTTGGTGGGGGCTGGTGTGTTTTTGTTTTGTTTTTTCTCAACCTTTGGTGTTCCACATAAAAATTTTTTTGGTGTTCCTTGGTCTTAAAAATTTTAAGAAATACTGCTCTAGACACTACTCCCCCCCTTAGAGCTGGGATGGACTCCAGGAGTCCTGGCTTCCAGACCACCCCTGCTCTAACCACTAGACAGCACTCTCCTCTCAGGATCCACATCACTTTCTTCCCAGCAAGCAGTTTTCTTTGTTTCATTCTTGCAAGTAGGCCCTGCATTATCATCCTGCATGGACTGCTTATCCGTCACGTTTTCCTTTTTTACCCAGGGAATGAATTTCTTCAAACTATTCCCAGAGAGAATCTCTCTTGTGCCCAGAAGCCAGGATGGTTTTTCTGTGGCACCAGTGTGGGGGGTATAGAAAGCTGTGCGTGAGTGTGTGTGTGCTCTGAATAACATCTTCTCTCTTTCTTTTCAGTTCACTGTTCTCTTCTAGGCTGCCTCCGTCCTTTTCTATATATTGCGATTCTGTCTTTATAAGCGACTCTCTTAACTAACTCCTCTGCTGTGCGTGGCCACAAAAAACAAGCCCGTTCAGGATGCGTCTGACTTTGCACATGTCGCTTTGTCGTCTGCTGAGAAACCGAAATGGAAAGCCCAGAACTTTCAAGAAGCAGGAGCTGGTGGTTAGGCTGGACAGGCTAGGTCCATTCATTCATTTTTAAGAGACTTTTTAAGCATCCGGGTAGCATTTCTGTGATGGGATTTAATTGTAACTGTTTTTAAATGAGAAATGGAGTATTTTACTATCTCTCTCTTTTTTTTTTATCTGAATTTTTTTTTTTAAATCGTTGATTTTTATCAACCCTGATGCTCATGCTAGGAATCCAAATTCCCAGCTCGCAGGCACTCCAAATGTCAGGTCACAAGAACTAATGTGACATGGCTGGGGGTGCTCTAATCACTAGACAGCACTCTCCTCTCAGTCACAGTCCTTTCTGGCCTTGAAATCAGAGACTCAACCTGGAGGAACAAAA